CGTCTCTGAGAACGATTTTTCAAAGCTGCTAACAGAAGAAAACTACCAGTATTGATGGAAAATTGCAGCTGATCCTGTACATTCTGCCATAGAAAGAAGTGGACCATTTTCTAAGGGACCTCCTAGACAGAGGAGAAAAAGAAGACAGTGAAGACTTAGGGAGAACTTTATAGGCAACATATGTATGACCCGCAATCTTGCATACACTGTTGTTGCTGGAAGGTAACTTAGAGTGATAAATATATAAACTTAAAAAGGGTTTATTTTTTAAATGATTTGACCCTGTTGTAACATTTCAAGGAATATTCTGTCTTCAGAATATTTATTATTTTTACTTGTTATTCCAGTTCTACAATTGGGAGTTAAAATTAATGATATATATGTTTTTTGTCATATTTTATTACACATTGGTTAGTAAACTTTACCTTCACTCCTAAGCTCCTGTGGTCAACATAAATAAAAAACATATAAAAAAAGCTATTCCTTACATTGTTCCATAATTGGTTACTTCTGATTACTTAATTTGAACTTTGAACTTTCCTTCTGTATGCTGTCTCCCATCTCATTAAAGAATACAAAACAACTAATATCAAAAGATTGTTATAATTTTAATTTTATTTATTATACCTGCATAATGTGTGCACAGATTTTTGATGTTGGTTTAGTAATTTACTACTGTTTTTTTTATTTTTAGTTTTTTTACTTTCTGTTATTAATTTTTTTGTTTCATCTTATTTTTAGATTGTTAAAATTGAAGATGTGTTGAATTTGAAGTACGGTGTTGTGCTAATGCGGTGGTTTTGATATTTTTATATGTTTCTGCAACTATAGTTTTCAATTTCTTACCTTTTTATATTTTATTACAATATTAGCATTCTATTTAATATATTACATTTTTCACAAACTAATGTTTTTATTTTATCTTTCAAGTTGCTTATGTATTTTCCTAATTTGCTACTATTATATACTTCTAGTTTTATACTTGGATATATAGTTCGAAACCATCCAAACTAATATATGATAGTATTGTAAAAATATTTCAATAATTTGAACCATTTTATTGCAAAACTTATGAACAAAAAAAACAAAACAATAAATGTTAAATTGCTTTAGGAAGAACAACTGCAACACATACCAAGGTTCCAACAAATATGTCATTCAAAGTAAAATGTTCAGTTTCCAGTTCCAATGACCATTGAACAAAGCATAGGGACAATTGTAACAAGTGTGAGAAATAAATTTCGAAGGTCCAAGCTTTGTTTGTATACCAGACGAAAAGAAATGTTGTGTACCCAAAAACATTTTGATAAACAGAGTTAAAACACATACTTTCTTCTTTCCTGTTTTATTACATATGGTGGCTATTCATACTACATATTATTGCACTTAATTGATGACTATTGGAGCAAATTCATGAGTAATACCTGCTAAATATAAATTATGGAATTTTTGAACATGATGGGATAAGAATGATAAATATATAGTTCAAGATTGCTTCATTTTGAGAAAATATATGTTTTGTAAATGTCCTTAAACGATATAAGTATTGAATGATATAATAAAAGTATATCATTGATAAAAGCATACCACTTTCTCGAAATAAAGCAAACTTGAATTTAGAATCCAATAAAAAATCTTATTTAAAATATGCCAATAAATTGATAATTTATTATTTCAGTAAACAAAAATTTTAATTAATTAATTAATACAATTTTAATGCCAACCTTAATACTTTTATTTTTTGTATACATGTTGGGTGTTTTGGAACAACCTTTTGAAGTTTCAAACACATGTAGACAATTTTATATAAAAATATATACACTTACTATATTTTTTATGTATCCATCTATTATTACCATTTTATAATATATTGCAATACTTATAATTCAACTAGCTTAAAAAGATGCAATTTAATTGTCATTAAATTAAAAATAACAATTAAATTGGTTTTTGTAGCTTGTTAAATTATGAAGATAACAATACATAAAGAAATATAAATGATAGACGGATGAGTGAAAAGAAAATAAGTGTATAAATATATAAAGTGATGTGTATTTGAAAATGAAAAAGTTGTTCAGAAAAATCGCAAGCATAAAAGATAATAAAATAGATGTATGAATAAAAGGGCTGTCATTGAAATTCAAATCATAACTTTTGACTTCTTCAAAGCCTGCCCATATCAAATAGCGTTCTAAAATGGTTCCTCTCCTTTCTGTCCCATCGGTCTCAGACAGTTGTTATTCCTAACATATCTCCTTCTTCATCCCTTCAATTGTCTTGAGGTGTTCCTCAGGACTCCTAGCTCTCTCAAACAACTCTTCTCCATTTATATTACTGACCTTCCTGTCTCCATCCATCACTCCTGCTATCACTTTATGCAGACGTTTTCCGAATTTACCTACCTTTCCAACCTTCTGAAATGCCAGAGGCTATCCGAAAACTGCAAGAGGATGTTGACTATATCCACAGGTGGGCAGAAAAAAATAACCTGAAGATGAATGCAGATAAAACTAAGGCTATCCTCATCAGATCCAGGCATCCCATTAGTTCCCTCTACTTTACCTTAATGACCTCTCCATCCATTTCTCTCCAGCAGTCAAAAACCTCTGAGTAATCTTTGACCTCTATTGGAATAACCAAATTTCCCAGATCACCTGAAAATCTATAACAATCCCTACAATTTCGTGACTCTATTCCAAAAACAACCAGACAGTCCTTGTAACATCTCTTATTTTCTCCCACTTAGACTATGGTTTCTTGGTTTATAGAGGGCTATCAACGATTCATCTTTTGTATTCCCAGGCGTTCTCATGTTTCCTCCCTGTACACCGAGTTGAAGTGGCTTTATCATACTTCCTGTATGGCAATTCCTTCTTGGTGTTTTCGTTTTCCAAGTCCTCAGAACCAAAAATCCTTCTTACCTCCTATAACTCCTTACTCTAAGCACCTCTATCCACTCTCTTAATACCAAATCTCAACCTATAGACCTGTATATTCCTTCCCATAAAATAACTTCTTTCAGCAAATCTTTCATCATTCATGCTATCTCCTTTTGGAACTCCTTACCTATCTCCATACGCCAAACCACATCCACAAATTCCTTCAAACAACTCCTACATATTCAAACTTCCACCAACTTATAAGAATTTTTAGGATAGATAAATACAATTGTTCACCAATAGATAAATGGTTTTTATATTTATATTTATTTTTATCTCTGTATTTTTTGTATATATCTGTATCTTCCCTTAGTATTTTTTGTATATATCTGTATCTTCTCTTAGTATTTTTTGTATATATCTGTATCATATACACATGCTAGATTGAAGTACATATTTTTTGAAATCTGTTATTATTTTAAGGGGATTTAAGTCCCAGAATAAAATTAATTTTTTATTTCATTTCATTTCATGTGAAACAAAACTAGAATATCAGCATTCATGATAAGAATATAATATGTGAAATAATGAATATAATCAACTTTACCCAAAATAAAATTTCTACGAGTCTGGTTCTATTAAATAAACTAAACTAAACAATAATAATAAAACAAAAGGTAGAATAGACAAGACACTAGTGGTTTAGGATCCCATTTGTAGTTTTTAATTTACACAATTTCATAAATAAAACATAATTTGTTAAAAAATGTTATACCCTTTGATTTACATAATTTTGTTAAATTAATATAAATGATAAAATGTGTAAAATTCAAAGAAAAATATAGATAAAAACAGTTAACAAGGCTTTTAATAAAAAACAGACAACGAGAACTGTATTATATTAAAACATATATATCTAATTACATAATTTATAATTAATAATTAAATAACACCTCCCCGCTATCTCCCAAAACAATTTTCGACAGATGAACAGAATAACTTCATGATTCACCAAGGGAACTGTGAGTCTATGAATAAATAATATATATTAATGTTTGGGAAATATTACACATAACCTTCATGTAAAAAGGCACTTAAATATTTAAAGTAATCCATAAGACGAAATGCTTTCACAATAAGATAATAATAATATGATAACTCTAATGACAATATTTCCGAACGACAGCTGACTCAGTATTTTGCTCATCATATGGAAAGGCAGGTTCACGGGACAAAACTACTACCGCCCTTATAATCAGCAAAATATTAACACAAACTTTCTTTAACTAGATAAATTTATAACTAACAAAAGTTGAAAAAATAATGGACAATCATAACACTATATACATTCAAAGAAATTTATAGTATGGTTTACAATTAATAAATACAATGGTTGTTTTGTGATTAATATACATAGTACCCTCATTCAGAAAGGCCATAACCTTCAAGTTTACATTAAATGTTACACAAGCTCAACTCGTGAATTTAGTTATATACACCTACTAGCGATTAAGCGAATTTGTCTAAAATAAATGAATATAAATCATAATTTTAAAAATAGTAATACTCCTTCCAACAAATGGTATTTTATTTTTTTATGAAATCGAATATATACAGATTGAAATTACATTTCTACAATACAATCTGCTATTCAGTTTGAGAAATACGAATCAGGATGCTATTATAGTTGAAAACGCTTCAGGCAAAGCAAGTGAAATAACAATTTAGCCATTTTTTTTTTCTTATAATAGTCAGTTTTGAGATAAACACAAGTAGCATGATGTTAGGCGTAATAGATACTTCTTATCAATGATAATATATTTTAAAACCATATTGAGTTTCGAAAATGTAACATTAAATAACATTTATATGACTAAGAGTAACACATCATTAAGCATTTATTATTCTGACTACATATAATGAAGATTTTTATTCACTCAGTCTTCTATACCACAGCAAATGCATTAGGATATGCCATAAAACCACTCCGATCTCCATAGTGTATGTACAATCCACTTCCGACTAAAGTTCTATAGAAGCACTCTCTTAATAAAAACATACAATTAAAAATTCACTTGCAACTAACAATTTTTTCTGTCATTTATGTTCACAAAAACACATTTAAGACAGCAAATCTGAAACATTATAGACATACAACTTATTAGAGCATAATTTAAATTTTTTATAATATAAATTAAAAAAAAAATGAAAATAACATAAAAGTACAAAATTAGAACATAGTGCATATTAACGTAGCATAATGTAATTCAGCATAAACTGGGGTTTCTAAATAACAATATTAAAATGAAAGAGGCACAAGTAAAATCAGAAATTTAGTTAGTTCGATCCCTATCATTGCAAAAAGCAGATCTTAAATATTAGGCCAAACTAAACAGATACAATAGATGATATATCAGAAACACATACAAGGAAAACCATCCTGGTTATCCTAGAACATGCTGCCTAGAATTTAGCATGTATCTTATGTTCGTTTTAACAAGATAACATTTTTTTAGAAATGCCCTTTTCATTTTGGAACTGCATTAAATATTTAAAGAATTCAATTACAATTTATTTATGGTACTTTTAATAATGAAATCAAAGGATAACAATACATAAATATTCTTGATACCGAAGACTTGTTGCCACAAGAGTTAATTCCTGAAGTTAACTCAGGAAAGCAATTAATTTGGCTTAGAGCAATTCAATGAAACCATTTGGCCTCAATCCAAATCGGGAGGTCATTCACGACTACGTCCCGTCAGTGTCAAGCTGCTGCTACCATGACTTACATTGAATTATAGCTCAATGTAATTCTACGAATCTAAATTGAACAGTTTATTTCAGCTGGCATATTTTGCCAGTTGTTCAAAATAATTTTATCGAAATCAAAATTTCTCTTGAATTGATAGTTGTGCCTTATTTATCACAGACATAGGTGCCATTTAATTTATTATATAAGATAAAATCATGCCAATTAAAAGAAGACATCCAACTTAATGGTGATAGGAGTTTGAAATAATTATAGAATTCACAACTCTTAGCAAGTAGGATCAGTGTTATCAATTCTGCATCAATAGAGGACCATTAACCGATAGGATTGCTTCTTGAGAACTTTAAAAAAATACATTTGTTATTTATACTAGTGAAAATTCCTGTTTGCCAGTAAAATATTTAAGAAAGTTGTAATTGGATGGTTAAAAATAAGATCCCTCAGTTTTGTTTTCGTTCCATCAGCTTATCCTATCCATGAAGGAGGCCTACATAGTTTGGCTGAACTGATTGTTATGTAGAAAAAGCCAAATAAAAATGTTAAACCTTGATTGATCTAATAAATTTGATCAAACTAAATAATAATCTTGATCAATTAAAGCAAGTATAAATAGTGATTGATGTTGCATTATTTGTAATTATATATTTTCCAAGTCCCTAGTGTTAATTAGCAGAGAAATGGTGTCTTCACAGCGTTTTCTTTCTTTATGGTTTGATAATTTTGGGGAAGAAATCAATCTCTTGAATTAACAATTAATTTTTGTGATTTCCACCTTTCATCGGGTTACTAATTTTTAAAAAAAAATATATCAATGAGACACTATAAATATTTTTTTTTAAAAAAGTAACTTAATTAATAATAATATATAGGACCCTTTTCTTTTATCCCAAAAAGATATAAAACAATACAACTTTTTATTAATAACAAAAACTTTTAATTTACATCACATTTTTATTTATTGATTGAAAATAGTCTCATTCTATATTCTAACATATCACTTTTTAAATATTGTTTTTTTTATTATATTGCTTACCACCTAATACATAATTTCATTTTTGGTCTTTTATTTAAAAAATGTCAATTTTTTATTTAGGCAAAAATCTTTTTTATCTAGGTGTACCTATAGGCAAGAAGTGAGGAGAAAAGAAAGTTTTATTTTAAGAAAGATATTCATAAAATATGAAAGTTACCGTTAACATGGGACTGACTGTTTTCAATGAACGGGGGAGTCTCAGGAAGCTTGCCGTTCCCAGTCGGAAGCTCAAGGATATCCCCGCTCGGACCCAAATCCAACAGGCTGTTAGTAACATTAATTTCAGACCTGCAAAAATAATTAAAATTGAAGCTATTATTACTAGAAACTATGATTGTAATAAAATAGTTTTAAAAAAATAACTTTTGTTAATAATACTTTTAATTTTTTTTTTCGAATCAATATATTTTATCAGAAATAAATGTTCATTTTGTTGTTAAATTTTAAACCTCTAAAAAAAATTTAATATTGATAATTTATATCCTTTCAAAATAATATATAACTCACTTAATGTAAGTACATTTCCTATCAAATATAAGTAAAATAAATCTATAGTTCACAAAGCTAACACAGTAAAACTAATTAAACAACAATACTACAAGCAGATGATTATTATACTATAAGTATCGCATAAAAAATTAAATTTGAAATAAAAGCTCTCACAACTATCTCATTACTAAAACTGTAATTCCAGGTCAGAATATTGACTACATCTATCTTAAAACATTGTATCTGTTAATCATACTAAATTATAAAATAAGAACAAATAAATTGTTTTATTAATATTAACTAATACAGAAAGAAATTTAGAATATGATAAATCCACATGAAATGTCAGTCTGAACTGGTAACAAAAATAAAATAATAAGCTTGAATACAATAATAATTTAGTGATTAATAACAAGATGATCTTTTGTTATATATTTGCTTTTCCTCCCAATGTGTAAAGAGCTGTTCACTTCAATCTCTCTGAGTGTGTCTGTAGAACGTAATAACGTAAGTCTTTGAGTTTCTGTATAAATCATATGTAAACTTCTAAGACTCAAAAATCAAAGTTCTTTCATCATCACCATATCAGAGCTATCACTAAACATGTATTACATTTCTAATAGTATCACAAGACTGTTTTCAGGATAACATTAATTGAAAAAAAAAAAAAAAAATGAAAATATCTAAGCTACTTTTCTTCTATAAATTTCTTCCATGTGAACAATTATTTTATTTATCGCTTCATTAAACCTCAAAATTTTCCTGGAAACACCAGTTTGAAACACTGGCCTCTTAAAAATGGTGATGCCTTCGATTGGAAATGAAATGGATTGTTCAATCGGTAGATCTTATTCCTCAACAGGTATTTTTTTCTGAAGCTTTACAAATGATATAACCAAATGAGATCCGTTATTTAAAAAACATTGAATAATATGTATGGGAAATAATTTTTCACATATAAAACTAGCTTGTCTCTAAAACATAATTAACATTAATAAAAAAAAAATTAGAGTGTAGAAAAAAATCAATTTAAACCAAAAAGAAGTCATGCAAATAAACAGTAAACAGTTGATATTCGCGGCCAACATGCAGTAACATTAAATATATCATTTTCACTTACATGTCTTGAACTGTTTTTCTACACGTCAAATTAAATCACAAAAAATTGGAAGATTTTCAAACTTCAAGTAAAAATACAATTATATTTCAACTAAACAGTTATATTTCTGTCTTAAACCAACACATCATATAATTTTATAGGCTAATTAAATATTTATCACATATTTGTTAACATTTAATTAAGCACAAGCATACAAAGAAAAAACACTATTTCAATTCATAAAAAATATAGTTTAAATTTATTAAGTATAACATAAACTTCAGATTTATTTCATGAATTAGTAACAAAGAAAAATACACAGTTATTAAAAATACAAATACAAGAAAGAAATCTCATTGTTGCCATGACAAAGAAAAATTAACTTTAAACAATAAAGAAATTCTGTACATTCAATATTTACACCTAAGTTAATTCTTTCCCACAGATAACTATCTTAAAAAACATGTACTACTGCAATCTATACATCACAAGATACTTGTTCATTCATCCATAAGTTTGATGAGAAGAGTTCAAACATGGAGAATAACAGTTAAATAAACATTAAAAAATTAAAGCACAATGTTCATCCACAAATTTGAAGCAGAATCTTCAAATTAAGAGAACAAATATTAAATCACAACTATGATTATTCCAAATCAACAAAATACATTAATCCTATTATTTCTAGAAAATTAACAAGGCACTAAAAATTCAATAAAGCTGTACAGAGTTGACGGAAGATGGACTAGGTAAGATATATGACCGATTTCAGTTTTTTGGACATTTTGAAAATGAATGAATAAATAGAAGTTAGAATGGCAACACTGAGAATGCTGGAATAATCTACGGGTTTGCCAGAGACATTAGTCAATCAACAACAACATGGAGGGAAATTCTTTCATACATTAATAATAATTAGTACTGAAAGCATGCTCAAGATGAAGTTATAATTTATAAAAGATTATTTTATTAATAATTTTTGGAATGGTAACAGTGTAAAACGACTGCTGTTTATTTCGTGTGACCACATATATATTCAAATGAAAAAAAAAAAAAAAAAAAAAATCCTATCCATTTATAAAATAGAAATTAGTCAGAAAAATAAGGTTCATTCTTCATAGGAAGCATAATTATGTTGCTAATAGATTGTGAGTATTCGACAATAACAAATGGAACCAATTTAGTTCCAAATATAAATTCACGAACCTCATAATCCCACTATTACACTTCCAGAAGAGACCCAGATCAAGGACCTATGTGCGAATGAGGAAATTTTAAATAATTTATGTGATTGAGAAAAGCTTTTGTCACTACTTTTTAAATAAAAAAAGGGGGGAAGCACGATAAAATTCTGTTCTACCAACTGTTATCATTCCAGTAATAGCTCAGATATTATATTTAATTTGAAGCAAATATATTTTAAATACATTTATAACATTATTAAAGCTTTCGAATATAGGAATCAACATAATAAATATTACATATAATTACAAATATAAATCAAAACTAATCAATACTACTTTATTAACCATTAGAATAAATCTATAGACTATTAAAATCACAAGAGTATTTGAGCTTTGTAAGGGATCTCTACACTTTTGCTCATTAGATTTAAAATTATGAACATACATATCTTGAATAGATAATATATATATTTTCTATTTTTTTTTAAACTATATTTTGTAAATCATAAATAGATTAAATAAAGACTAATTGAGGCTGTGGCTAGAAAAAATACAGATACGATTTTTTAAGGTTTCTATCAATGTTTTCAATGAAGGGTGGTAATACATTTTTTTAGAAACTCTAAATATTAACTATTTACTAAGAATATTTTCTAGCATAAAGCAAATTAGCAAAAATTCAAGGAAGATTATGAATAGATAGCACCTTTGCATAAATCAATGTTAACAAGTTTTAGAAAATTGATAAAATTTGGTAATTATATTTGGTTAAGTTCTTGAAAATCTATTTTGATATATTTATTTAGAAAATCTAAACAAGTTAATGATGAATTCTAAACGAGCCCTACATAAAGCAGTAGATTAGGTGTTGATGAAAAAAAGAGTATACAGCATACTTAATAAAAAAAGAATAAATCTTTAACAATAAGATTAACCAGCCAGAGCCTCAATTAATAAAAATCTAAGTTGCAATTAAAAAAAAATTAAAATCATAATTACTAATTTAACCATTACAATAGTAATATAAAAAAGTGTTCAACAAAAATTACAATATGATCCACAGTCACAAAGTTAAAAAGTATCTTTCTGCTCTTTAAAGGAGGAAGACAACAATCACGCGATCTCTATAAATGAGCCAAGATATAATCCTACGCTATTAGACTTACACAGTGTCGATTGAGCCGTTATGATGTCCATTGTGTTTATTATTTTCTACTAATGGAGGTATTGTGTTCGCATCGCTGTGGCTTCGCTCAGAATTCAGGAACTTGTCTTCCTCACTCACTTTCTTCGCTTCATCTGGTGGAGAGTTTTCTTCCGATTCTTCACCATCCTATAAAAATGTATACAAATTGTAAACAACCACATAAATTTCAGAATATAATAGAAAATTGAATAAATTAATGAAAACTGAAAGTTTGAAATAGATATTTTTCTTCCTTACTAACAAAGATAGGGAAGCTTTATATTGGTGCAGGAATTTAAAAAAATCTTTGTACACAGAATAGAAAGTTTCCACTTGTATTTTACATTTCGGACATCAGGGATCAAATTTGGTTCGGTGTCCGTCCTTATCTGTCTGACAATATTCAGATAGACAGACAGCTTGTGTCGGTATTTTAAACTATTAATTGTTAATGGGTGACTTAGGTGTCAATAAATTTCAAGTCTGCATAGGCTTCTTTTCATGCAATTTATAAACATTATTCATATTCTTATATTCCACCTTAAATGAGTTTTGTTCTCACTAATGAAAAATGTTTGTTTGGTTTACATCGAACAAACAAAAAATTGAATTTCATTTAACAATTTGTTCGTATTTCACAAATGAAAACATTCCGATTAACTACAATATGAATATAGATACTGTATTGGAAATTTGTTTATGATCAAGACCCATGGATATCAAATCCACGAATATTGAGGGATTAATTTTTGAAAACGGATTAACCCAGAGATTTTATTATAAAATTAAAATTTATGAATAATAGATAATTATGCAACCAATGCAAATGGTGAGGAAGCTATATTACCTTAGATGGAGTTGTTGCTGAGGTAGTACTGCCTTTCCCTCTAGTTCTTAACATTATAGCTTCAACCCTCTTTCTTCGAGCTTGTCGATCTTCCTCTTCTTTCTTTAACCTTATTTCCATTTCAATCCTCATCCTATAAAAATAAAAAAATATGAAAAATGGTCTTTAGTAACTTGGAATAAAAGTTCAAAACTAAAATACTAAGTTACACTACTAATACAACAGGTGACCAAGAAACTGTACTTCATTACAAAGTAATAAACCCAAGACTATTTAACATAATTTAAATAGAAAAGAATCTCTTTTAACAAGTATCTCTTATTCAAAGTATGTCATTAAAAAATGTTTTAACAGTAAAGTAAGCTATACATATAGATTATATCAAATGTCAATTTAAACCTTCATTCATCCATAAAAACTATTTAAAAAGAATATTTTTAAGTCCATAAGTGCTTATTATTAATGCCACTGACCGATAGATTTTGTTAGTAGATCATACCAAATTTTTATTGTTGGTTAAATGAAACTCTGAACTCTATTTAATATGTAGTTCCTAAAGTATATTTATTTTGTCTTTATAAAAAAAGAACATTGGATGGCTGAATACAATATAGTTAAATTTATGAGAAATATATTATTTTATTTTTTGTGTAATTGTAGATAAAAATATATCAAAATCAACTTACTTTTCTGCTTCTTCTTTAGCTTTTCTGTCAGCTTCTTCCTTTTCTAATTTTTGTTTCAATTCTTCTTCTTTACGTTGTTTCTCTTCTTCTTCTCTTTTTTTAACTTCCTAGGTAAAACAAAAAAATATTATCGTTATCATGCAAAACTGGAAGAAGAACACATAATCCCTTCATGATGATTATTGGCATTATAGAAAAAGTGTATAAGTTAACAAAGTTTATCTACGTGTTTCTAAAATATTAGATTCAGGAAATTAATCAGTTTAATTGTATTTAATGCTGAAATTTAAATATAATTGTCAAAATTTTGTAGATTAAAAAAATTACAGGAGATAAACAAAATCCTCAATAGTCTATTAATAAACTTCCTAGCTATTATTACAGATCGTAAACACGACACTACATTGAAGATTCATTATATTTGTCCAAAATTATGATGAGTGGGTACTTTGCACTAAATAAAATAAGCATTAAATAAGAAATACTTACTTCAATGGCTTGTTGGAATCTAAGCTCTTCGGCTCTTCTAGCTTCTTCTAGAAGTCGAAGTTGTTCTTCCTCCATGCGTCTGTGTTCTTCTTCTTCTTTTCTTAGACGTTCTTCTTCAGCCAATCTTTCGGCCTCCTGTAGAGACAATGAATATTTTAGAGAATAATAATGAAACTATATTCAGGAAAACCAAGCCTAGTCTGAATGCCTTTTTAATGTAGCAACCAGAATATTTTTAAAATGTAAAAAATAAACATATAATAAAAAAATACCAATATCAATTAAAATACTAAATAAGTTTTTTATGTACATATTTTTATTATTATTTTCCCCTTCTGACAGTTTATCTGGTCAGAGGGGGGGAAAGGCAATATTTATTTCATAAGCCCACAACAACCTAAATTTTGACCCACATTTTATATATCTGTCCTAAGTCAAAAACAAAATACAATTATAACTGCCTTTTGATTTTTATATATTTTATATTTATCAACATTATTAACATTTTTTACCATAGTTCAAAATATTTTGGGATTGGCAATTCCTTATCATTTTATAAACTTTGCTAATTACTTTCTATAGTTAAACATATTAAGAAGGAACATTAATCTTGACTAACTATTGGTCACTGGCAGATGCAACTAATTGTTTGTCAAGATAAATTTTGCTTATGAACATGTTTAACTATAAAAAGTAATAAACAAATTTTTTATAAAAAGATAAAATAAAAGGGGGGGGAAAGAAAATACCTAACATAAGCGAATATGTTGCTGATGATAGGAAAACATTTTCCGAAACATTAAACAATATGTAATAAATAAAAAAATATACAAGTCACAACAAAGTTGTAATTGTCAACTTCACATGTATAAAAAAAAAAACCTTCTCAACAAAAGAAACAAGAGAACAATCAACAAAATACATCAAAAATACAACTTACAATCCTTTGTCTTTCTAGCTCTGCTTCCCTTTCAGCTTGTTCTCTGGCAAGCCTCCTCCTTTCAGCAAGGGCTGCCTTAGCTTCTTCCTCTGTAGTTATTCTAATTTTGGCTATCATCGATGCTACAAAAATATTATATAGTGAAGTGGGTTTCATAATTAATATTAATATAAATACTTTACAATACAATAATAATTTGACAATAATATACCGGTCATATCTGCTTCAGCTAATTCATTTCCATTTCCAGTAACTTCAGATTGAGCCTGTGGCAGAACTTGTGGTGGCTGTGCTTGCTGTTGCGGTACTTCTTGTTGTGGTTGTGACTGTTCTCCTTGTTGCGACGGGAGCTCAGTTCCAAGTGGACTGGAGTCGGGGATAGAATCAGATTTCTCATGGGCTGCTTCAGGAACATCGGCTAACAGCACTTCAGTAGGCGGATCATAGTCCAACTCCTGAGCAGCATCAAGAGAGGACGCTCCTTCACCTTTATCCACAGTTGTATTATCAGTATGTTCTAAACTCATTTCTGCGGATTCCACCAAAGGTGACTGCAATGGAGTAGCTTTTGGTGTAGTTGATGCCGAACTCTGAATAAGTAAGAAAAAAAAATAAACAGATTAATTAACAATGAATAAAACAACACAAATTATTATTTTTCAACAACCAAAAACCACAATTTTTTAAAAACTACATGAGAAAATTAAATTAAACAGACAAGATACATACTCCACACAACCATTTAAGATTTACTAGTTACCTTAGAAGACTTCGGTTTTTCAGCTGGTTTTTTTGGTGTAGTCTCTGATTTATTAGTGATTGGCTTCTTTGTAGCATGGACCTTAGGAATAGGTGGCTTCTCAGTTGCAGAAACATTAGGAGATTTCACACTGCGATCTGAACCTAGAAAATTAAGTAAAATTAATTAAATATAAATAATATACAATTTAGAATATGAGTAATAGACAGAAATGAAGTAGCGGTGGGGTGGCCTAGAAGGCTTATGTGTGTGCACAGCACCGCATGTTGCCCAGCAACCTGGGTCAAAGATAATTAGATAAAATAATTAAAAGTTCGCATCTTGGTGCCCAGAGGGGAGGGAGATTTTAACTCTGGCATCTCCTGCCCTCGTTTCTTGGCCCGGAAAAACCCCTATAGCCTAAAAGGCGAGGAAGGAAAAAAAAAGAAAAAAGACTGAAATGGAGTTTCATAAAATAAGCATCTAACAAATCTAGTTTTCTAGTACATAATTTGTGGATTTCATGTATAATATATGAATTCTAAAAAGAAATATCTTAGAATAAGCATAAATATCAGGCATATACCATAAACAATTTAAGTTTACCCATGACATTGAAGAACATTAACAAAAACATGATAGCAAAGTTTTATAAAATTATTTAGAAAGGCTAAAGTGGATATTAAAAACAATTTTAACATTTTCAAATCAGAAGATGTTCCAGTTTGAATCTGGATTCTGATATTCATACTTTTAAATACTCTTTTCCTTTGATCAAATATAAAAAAAAAATTATCCTTTACAAACTAACTAAAAATTAACCAAGCCTAAAGATATACTTGGTAAAGAACAATTTCTTTTGATCATTATCATTCCATTATAATGGAAGAAAGAGATCTGGTCAGGACCATACCCAAATCAGAATCAGGTTTCACATAATCCTGTTATTGCTAGGCCAATCCAATAGCTACTTTATGGAAGCTAGGTGAAGCTCATGAGGGTCATATAAACATCTTAGTAACCGATATAATATTTGAGGATATGTCAATAATAGACGGAAAACATTCTATTTATATGGGCATAGAAAGTGATAAGGAGGGTAAGATTTGTAGACGAAAAAAAAGAAACATAGCTCATTGAAAAGATTCAACAGAAAGATTGTCCATAAATACTAATAAGTATTCAAGAAACAAAAAATAAACCATAAAGAGTAACAGAAAATTGGAGGACTATATTATCACCAATTTAGTAAAAAAAATTGTTAAGTAGGTAACACCAAAAAATAAATATGCTTTTTCAGCAGGTTGCCAGTGGAGTGAGTTCATGATGGCTAAGAGTGTAAAAGTTTTAACTTTAACATTATCCCTAGTCTAGTGATGCCGGTTCAAATCCAGCTTGGGCAGGATGAAATGTATTTTGTGGCAGACCCACGATATGAATTGAGTGATATTAACTGGTTCCTCGAGAATAAATCCACTTCCCATGTATGCCAAAAATGGCAAAGTAGGGGGTAATTGAAAAAAAAACAAAAAAAAAAAACTAAATGTAAATATTTGGATCAGGAAATATTTATTCACACATTTTTCTAGTTAATTTCTAAAATTAACAAAATATTTGGTAAAATAATAAAATAAACATACACAAACTAATTAAATATTTAGAAAGCTTATACATATAATTTTGCACTTTTTAAGCATATTTTATAAAACAGCGAAGACTAATAGCTCTAATCAGGTACTGTCATTTCAAAAAATAATTAAAAAACACCTGAAGCAATAAATGAACCCATCCTAAAGTGGTCTAAGCTCTGGACACTCACCAGGTGAAGAGACACCAGTAACTGCAATGCTGACAGGGCGCGGGCGACGAGGTGTCCTCGCTCTGAGGCTAGCTGCAGATAACTGGCTACTGACGCTGTGCTGGGAGAGGGAGCTCTGCGGCCGTGATGGAGTGATATCACCGCTCCTGGCCCCTAATATCCAAAGCGATATGCGCTGTTATACCCTCGTGCTCATATAGCTCATACATTTTAAAGCTTTACACTAACAAAGCATTCTTTACAATTAAAGAATATACTTTCTTACGTGTATGGCATATACAGTTCATTTTAAAATTTTATGACATAAATATAAGTTATAAAGGAAAGATTATTTGGCTTGGGCACGATTGGTTGTAATCATTCTCAAATGCTAATTTTTTCTCTAATTAACGTTTTAGCTACAATCAGCAGGAGGGAAGGAACGTCCTTGTGGACAGAATACTTTTTATCACCTCTACTGACCATTTACAAGCTTTTATTTAAGGCATCATTCAGCAATGTCCATAATCTCATGTCATAGAAAAATAACCTACTTCCCTACAGGAAGGCCATGAGATAGTTTGAAAAGATAATTAATCACAAAACTTGAGGAGATTGAGTCCAAAAGGAGCTCAACTCATATATGAGTTCGCAAAAGAGTTAAGAGTAACTGGTTTTCAAAGATTAAATGTGGGATTAGAGAGTTTCCCGATTTCAGGATGAATGATCAATCCAGGAATGATATAGCAGAAAAAATATTTCATCATTTAAAACTATAAATTAAATTTAGTCAACGATAATAAAAGATCTTTCAACGAGAATATATTAAAAATGAAGTGTATTGCCATAAGATAGAAAAATAGTTAAGCCAGAATAATATTTACATTGCACTGCATAAAAGAATTACATATCTTCATGATAAATCAACAGATAAAAAATTAACTGATATTATTGAATTAATATTTAAATTATGCAGAGCGATGTAGAATTAAAACACCAACTACTGTGATGTCCCTTAAGTGAAATAAAGAAATATACAGCAAAATATTGGACAAGAATTGACTCGTATCAGCCTTTTTTTTTTTTGAAAAAATAAATAAATAATTTAAAAGTTTTTCAATTAATAAGTGTAGTGTTTAAAATTTATTTACTAAGCATTATGAATTTATTTAAAAAATGAAAAAAATAACAAAAGAATAATATGTATCAAAATAAGTGTTAGTTATTAGTTATATATTTTGATTTAATTTACTAAAGTACATATCTATAAAGTTCATTATCAAATCCTATTTGATCATCATAAGATAGTTTAAGAGTTAACTTGTGTAGCACAACTGTATAATTCTTTATTGTCATATTTTTTTTTAAATCATAAAAGCTTAATACTAATTATTAATTTCATTTGTGTAATGTGGTTCCAAAATTATTGAATATAACAATAGATTCTTTCAATTTGTTGAAAACTGTAGGATAAATCAAACGAACAAATATACAGCTACAACTGAGCCCTGGAATGGTATTTATAAACCTCAGTGTGGAAATATCAACACAGGATAATAGAAATAAAATCCACATAACTGGGAAGGGTGTTTATTACAAGATAAATGTTATACGGTGTTTTTTTAGAGTACTCTTTTTTTAAAAGAAAATAATCACGTAAGTTCTCCACTGCTCCACTCCACTCATAAAATAGAACACAATCATTTTAATATTTTTATTGTTGCCAACGTTTCAAGCCAACCATGTGGGTCATAGTTCATAAAATAGTTGAATTACAATTTGGAACAAGATTTTGAGTAGAAATTTGATAGCGAATATATAATGTATCACAACAAACATTTTTATAGGAATAGGTTTTGGCAATAAAAGTTTATCGCTTATTCGTGAGTAATTATTAAGTAAAGTAAAGAATAGAGAATGGGTAAAGAATAGAGAATGAGTAAAGAATAGAAAATCTTCTCGAGGTACTGATACATTGGAAATCATTTGTACCCTTTTGAAACCTTTCAGCCTTTACAATGATATATTGGAGGCTGTTGAGTAAAAGAAAAGATCCAATTTCGTAAAAAGAATATTTTCTTGATGGGCATTAAAATGATTTAAAAAGAAATTAACTACAAAACATGACACATGGTTTTTAGCCGAGCAGGTAATTGAATAGGTCAATTCTCAAATCAAAATTGAGGTCATAAGAAATTTTAAACATAATAGCTCATCACTCATCAGCAAACGAATTAAGAAAATATTTTTTTGTTCAATAATACCCATTAATCATTGAGGTAATTAATAGTTTTGGAACCACATTAAATAAGAAGACGATATTATAAAAATATTCAAAATCACAATTAGTGGCTGCTTTGTTCCTGTGTACCAACCATTGTCAAGCTGGTGTTCTTACCCAAAACCACTTCACTGTGTAAAATAACAAAGCTTTAGGGATAAGCAGAAAAAAAAAAAAAAAAAGGAAAAGAAACCTTACCAAAATAATGATGTTCCTTCACCAAGACCATTCATTACTCATATTATTTTTCTTAAAATGTTAAGGAGATTCAAAATTACTTACAGCTTTTTATTCATTCAGGTGGCCAAGACTGATCAGAAATGTAAAATAAAAAAATAAACAAGCAGAAAGACATATGCAGCGAAAAGACAAATCATGCAAAAGCAAAGCATTTGTTCCGTATGATCAGATGTATACATCATTTCATACAAATGTATACTTTTAATATCATCACCAGTATATTGACAGATATCAGCTAACCTACATATGATCTTGAACATGCATTTAAAAATATAATTTCCAGTAAAATTGAAGAGTATTGATTACTTATCCACCTTGATTATAAAAAAGAACAAATAAGAAATTGAAGCCTTGATGACCAATCAACATTCCTGGATTATTGGTGGTTAGCCTACATAGGGAATCTATACGATAGTCTGCCCTTCTTTCTCTAGTCAGTTTGGTATGGAAATAAAACCCATAAACTGCATTCAAAACAACAGTTACCATTAAAGTCACATTACACAATGAATTAAAAATGGGAAATTATTCAAAGGGGCAACATAAATTTCAACAATTAGGTGATAGGTGCAGAGATTCCTTTATGTTTCAAGAATAAAAAATTACAGGTAATTTGTAATTCTGGGGAGGGGAGTGGGGTGGCCGACTGAGTTAATGCGTGTGCATTAAAAAAGAATTAGATAAAATAATTACGAGTTCATGTTCTGGTGCCCGGGAAAATCCTTTATAGCCTAAAAGGCGAGGAAGGGGAGGACAAATAATAAATAAATTAAAATTTGTAAAATACCTTCTAATAAGAAATATAATAGAAAGCAAAATATCTAATCAATATTTAGCAAACCATTAATTTACATTAAAATAGTTAAATTGCTATGTTATTTATTTTTAACAACCTATTCTTGAACTGTTAAAATTATGTTAGGAAGGAAATATATATTAATTACAATAAAATAAAATGAATTAAAACCAATTAGTTATCAACTGCTAAATATCATGCTTGGTTAGTCTTTTCTGATGATTCATGCCTTATGCTCAGAAAGTGCAACACATTATTATGAATTATAATACATGAAAAAGTTTTATTGAAGTTTAAATTAAACAACAGAATTAAAAATTAAATATTGATTGGACAGTGAAAAAAAAACATAACAAACAAAAACACACGAATAAAGCAGAATTAAATTATAGTTTTAATTGAAAATTGGATTCAGACTGAAAATATTCATAATATTCAAACTAGGACTATTGACATTCCATCAAAAGACAAAACATAATTGTCACTACACATAACAGCATACATACATCTAAAATAATTTAAAAAATACAATATGGTCCACTCATCTAAAACAAAAAATGTATAAAGAGTATAATTTTACTATAAATAATGTTTTATTTGTTATGATTTTAAAATTATTGTTACTTAATATTAAAAAAATATATTTTTTCAATAATTTAAATATTTGCAATACACAAATTTATATTCGTCATAGTTTACACTGAGAGTATTAAAGAAAACCTAATGGATTTCAAATTGTTTCATACTTCACTTCCTTTACTATTATCATCATTATCCTTTTATAAAGTATTTAATTCAACCTCCTTTAATCAAAAAAAGTTTTGGACTAATATACCACAGAGTCTCGCCATACTCAAAATTAGAATTTGGTGTTCAAAATAATGATCTTTGTATTACTACTCATATATTTTAGCAAGTTGAATATACCAGCTACTTTAATTTATTTGCAATTTTCTCACTTAAAATCAATGTATCAAGTCGGGAGCATAACAGATTTTAAAAAATAGATAAAAAGTTCCATATTCATCATTCATGAGAATCTTATAAGCGATTGAAAGTCATGGTCTGAGCGCTGCTTTGCATAAAGTTTAATTATTAATAAAATCATAACTAAAATCCTGATAACAAAAAAAAAAAATATACGTAAGAGGTGTATACAGACTTATAATGATGGGCAACTATATAACTAGTCGCTTTTTTAATATATTCTATTTAATTTTTGTAAACACCAGTTAATTATGAATTGGAAAAGTAGAATACTCATAACTAATAAGGATTGATAAAAATGTATTTATACAGAAAGATACTTAATTTACTATATTTAAGATAATTAAAACTCTTTGAATCATTTTGAAATACTAATTTTATGGAGATGAATTTATATGAGTGGACCACATATGTACCTGGTGATGACGGCTGGTCGAGGGACTGGCTCCTAGCTTGCTGTTCCCTCGCCTTCCTCCGGAGCCTCTCGGCTCTCGTGGGCCGTGGTGGACCTAAGCTGACCATGCTGCGAGCTGTGCCCCTGCGGAGGGACTCTGCAGGGAGCAAGGGCTTGGGGGCCGCGCGCGGCTGGGAAAGGATGTCCAGTCTGGACATGGAGTAGGCCCTACCTGGCTTTCCCTTTCTTGGAGGTGGTGTCGAATCCCGCTCAGGAACTGTCGGAGTCAAGTCTGTCTTCCTTCTCCTCACCTCAGTCTCTGTGCAGTCACACATATATCAGCTAATAACTGTGCTAATCTCACAACAATTATAGAAAAATACATAACACTGAAAACATTAACTACCTTTCATATAAAGTACATGAGAAAAAAAAACATATCATTAATAGTAAAGTGGTTACCTGAATATTTGAGTACTTCATCAAGTTTTGAATTGCAAAGTACATAACAATAAAAACTATTTCATCTTTTATAAACAATAGTTGAAATCATAAAAACAAATAATGGGAGCAAATGAATATCAAAAATTCATTGTTGCCGGTAAATCATGATGGATAAACAGGAAACAAAAAACAATCCTATGGGACATTCGTTATAGGATAACCTTTAATTTAAATATTTAAATTAAATATTTAAAAAATAAAATTGAAATAATTTTGAAGAGTTAGAAATTTGAAAAACAATAGATAGTGTGAAACACAATTATACAAAAGAAGAACATTACTTAATTCGTATATCTCTAACAACGATCTGTTGTAAGTTCATTCCAATCAAAAGATATGTCAAAGTGAAAATAGCTACATAGAGATAAATAATTTCCCAATAAAAGGATTCATTAAACATCAAACCTCTAGGATATTTGTTGAAAGTCATAGACAATATGAAAACAACTAACGGAAAAGCAATATTTTCAAGCATGAAATAGAAAGCAATATTTCTGACTGATTAATATATCCAGAATTTGTAAAGCATTAATGTTTTTCTAAAAATAAAACATTTGATATCGCCTTGAGTGCTAACTACTTCCTTTGCATTTACAATAGTGAGATGATGAAAGAGAAAAGTATAGACCATTTTTAAATGAAAGTAAAATGTAATAACACTACTGGGATAAACTTGTAAATAAAAATACCTATAATAACCTAAGAAAAAACATAACCTAAAATAACCTAAGAAAAAACATAACTGGACCAAAAAATTTTGAATAGACAATGTATCTAACTCAATAATTACCAAATCAAAACTGTTATCGAACTTTCCTACCTAATGAATTGTACATAGTTTAAATTAAAAAAAATGTCACTGATTTGAGAAATAAATTAATAAAAAAAATGTATCATATTTTATCATTATTTCTTTTGAAGTAATTGTACCAAAATGAGAGACATTAAACATATAACAAAGTAATGTGGCGATGTAATTAAAATTATGATTTATTCTCCAATTTAAAAAAAAAATTGAATAAATTATGAAAGTTACAAATATATAATAAATTTGGAAGCGATGTAAGAATTACTAATTTTTCAATTTGGAGAAAAGCTGTAATACTAACATACCCCCAACCCATCCAAATTTAAATATTACATAATTAATGTAATCATAATTCTCCAAAAAAAAAGAAGTTACTCTTGAGTCAACCAACTTAATGACTTAATTTCAATCAAGAAAATTATAGAATACAGAAATGTGAGAAATAACAGTAAATAATTTAAACATTTCTCAACAATAGATGGAGAATAAGCTATAAAAGATATAGATAAATAATAAAAAATTAAAGAGTATCAAATCACATAAATTTAAGCTATAATAATCCCTTTAAAAAAAATAATCATTATTCTGGTTTGATTATGAAAGTTATTTTGAAGAAAAAATTTGGAATGTTCAAATATGAATAATTTAAAAGGCATATATGTTTGAAATATGTATACATGTTGAAAATCAATAGGGTCGAATAATGCCCTCATATGGGTATGTTATAAAATCAAAAGAACAGCAGACTTTGGATAATTTACTTTTTGGATTATTGACTATTATTTAAAAAAGAAAAAGTAATTTAAGACAATACTCCACTATATGAAAATATATATGAATTACGAAGTCAGATTTCAGTGGTTTAAATTATGATACTGCCAATCTATCAAGATTCATCAAGAAAAATCAACAAACCCTAAAAATTGAAGTTTTTCATTATACGCCAACAATCAACAAAAGATTGCTTCATTTATATATTAAAATACCTTCTAAAAATTTGAGCCAAATGGCATAATAGCCAACGGCAGAGGCGTTAAATAAAAAAAAGTTTATTTTAAATAGTGTTGTAATATAGATTAATTCCTTCCTCCTACTTTTTTTAATCAAACAGGTAATACTTGCCTGCATACTGTCCTTACATCCATAAAGCACAAGTTATGCAATAGATAAGATTAAAAAGATTCAGTTCAGTAGTATTTAAACTGATCAATTTACCATTTCTGTAACATGGGAACAGTGAATATATCAGAAATGAATAATTCTATTTGTAAAATGCTTTTTATTGTTTATGTTACCAATTTTCATGATTGTCACAATACAACAGATAATTCTCAATAAACTTAGGCTAATTAACTTTATCCAGTTGTTTTCCTACTTGTGGATGTTTCACAATTAATAAATATTCCTGGATCTCATAGTCTCATCAGTTGCAAATTATCAAAAGTCTGCTGTATAAAAATAAATAATTAACTAAATTCCACAATATAAAAATAAATCTTATGCCATGTATGAAATATTAAATCAGTAGTTTAATCTAATTAAATAAAAGTTACTAGATGCTTTAAATCAAAACAAAAAAACTACTTTTATAGATAGAAGATAGATAGAAAAAAAAACTTTATTCTGGGACTAAGTCCCTTCAGAATAACAATAATGTACAAAATAATAGAATATTACTGGCCTGAACGTTGAAACAATAAATGAAATTGATAAAATAAAATAAAAAGTAAAGAAAACCTTAGGTGCACAAGCTATATACAATACAGATACTACTATGTACAGAGCATTTAAAATTATGAATAAAACAATTAAAACTATGAACGAATCATTTGAACTATGAACAAAATTATATTTCAGGGTTGCACAACATATATATATACAATATATATATGAAAATAAACAGTTACTTATAATTGAATAAAAAAAAAAATACAAAAAAATGTGTGTGTTGAAATTCCTACGTCGATAGTAGGAAATGCATGTACTATCTCTTACCAAGTGTAATGATTATATGATTGCTACACAATACATATATAATATTAATCGTTAGCTGGTATCTGACTGTTTTTGGAACAGGAATTGGAATAGGAGGTTTTTGAATGTGTACAGGGAAAAGGCATGTCGAATTTTGATCGGGAGGGAATTCCAAAAGTTGACAGAGCGGGCTATAAAGGAATTTTGGAATGAGGCAGATCTATGAGAAGGGATGTATAGGTCAGAGGGTCGGGATCTTGTAGTGAGTGAATGGATTGAGGACTTAAATTGGAGAAGGTTGTAGGCATAAGAAGGACGATGATCGGTAATGATTTGATAAAGGAAAGTGCCAAGGAAATATTGTCTTCTTAAGGAGGGGAAGAGCCACCCTAACTCAGTGTAGTGGTGGGAGACACGGGAGCGTCTCGGGGTTCCGATTACAAATCTTACGAAGCAATTCATAAGTCTTTTGAGTCTATCACGCAGTTCCACCGAGAGGCCATCGTACACCACACAGCTGTAGTCAAAGTGGGGAAAGATGAGAGAGGAAACTAGGAGTCTACGGGTATTTTGGGGTAGAAGATGGCGGAAGTGATGGAATAGTTTGAGGGTAGAAATTGTACGGCGGGATATATGAGAGATATGGTGATTCCAGGAAAGGGTTTGATCTATGAGAAAGCCTAAATTTTTAACAAAGGGATAGAAGGTGATGGGGTGGTTGTTTAGATAGAGTGAGGGAAAGTTGGTGTGGGATCTAAGAAGGGGCTTGGAACCAATGAGAATGGCCTGAGTTTTGGCCGCATTTAGCCTTAATCCATTTAAGTTGGCCCAGGCATTAATTCGATCTAAATCTTCTTGAATTTTGGCAAATGCCACCAATAACTCAGCGGGAGAAAAGGATAAATAGATTTGAGAATCGTCGGCATAAAGGTGGTGGGAACAATGGATAATTGTATCATTTAGGTCATTAATATAAGAACTGAAAAGAAGAGGAGACATGCTTGAACCCTGTGCAACTCCTGAGGATAAAGGAAGGTAGGCAGATAGAGGTTGATTAGGTATGGAAACTGCTTGGGTTCGTTGTGAGAGGAAAGACTGGAACCAAGAGATGGAACTCTTGGAGAAGGATAATGATTTTAGTTTGTTGAAAAGGATGGAATGGATAATGGAATCGAAAGCTTTAGAGAAATCAAGAAGTATAAGAATGGTTAATTTTTTATCATCTATTGCAGTCTGGATATCACTAGTAATTTTAATCAGAGCAGATTGTGTAGAGTAGCCAGGACGGAAGCCAGATTGGAGAGGATCGAGTTGGTTGGATTGTTCAAGGAAGTTGGAAACTTGGGATTGCACTAACTTTTCTAGGGGTTTAGAAAGATTGGAAAGGATTGATATTGGGCGGAAATCTTCGGGAGAGGATGGATTAGGCTTTTTGTTTAAAGGAAGGACAATGGCTTTTTTCCAAGAGGTCGGGAATATTGAATTCTGCAGGGAGAAATTGTAGATGAAAAGGAGTGCTGGGAGGATTTCAGGGAGACATAATTTTATTAGTTTGATAGGAATGCCATCTGGGCCTACGGAATTGGAACGGGATTTCATTATAACGGTAATAAGGTCTGTGGGAGAAATGTCGGAAAAATAAAAATTATTGTCGTTAAAAGCTACCTCTGGAGAAAAGCCGGAAGGGGATGGTAACGAAGAGGTGGAAACCGATATAAAGTGGGAGTTTAGGTCATCAGGTGATATTGGGAAAACTGAGGAAGGGGATCTAGAAGGTTCACAGAGGGAAAGCTTACGAAGTAGAAGCCATTTTGATTTGATATCAGGAGCTGAGGAAAGGGCTTCGTGAAAGTAGTTCGCTTTCGCTTGTCGGATCCTTGTCTGTGTCGTGTTGCGAAGCATTCTGAATATTTGATAATCATCTGCAAGCCTAGTCCGTCTGAAGCGTCTGCGTGCAGCGTCGCGTCTCTTCTGCAGATCCTTAATTTCCTGACACATCCAAGGAGCAGGACGATGACGGAAAGTGGAGGTTTTGAGAGGAGCGTGGGTATTGAGTATATTGAGAAGATTGGTGGTGAGAATATCAACCATGGTGTCGACAGAGGAGCAATGATATATTCCATTTAAATCCAATGTTACTAGATCAGGTAATATTTTTTCTCGAGTAAGGGTATCCAGTTGGCGGAAAGTGATAGTTCGAGGATGGATTGGAGGAGTGCGGATATTATACGTTATTTGTATCAGATCATGAGATGAAAGAAAGGATACTGGCACTTGAGAGGCGGAGAGGAGGTTTTGTGCTGAGTCGATGATGTAGAAGTCTAGCCAAGTGTCAGATCTGGTGGTGTGGTGGGTGGAGGAAAAAGGAACGATGAATAGGTGAAGTGAGAAAAACAGATTTTCTAAATAGGATTTGTCATTGGATTTTGAGAGGAAATTGGTATTGAGGTCACCGGAGATAATTATTCTGGGATAGAGGGGAACGAAGTTGAATAGAGTTGATTCGAAGGACGGGTCAAATGGCACGAGAGGAGGGCGATATACCACGGCGTAAAGGATAGGAGAAATATTACTGAGAATTTCTACTAAGAGATATTCTACATGAGGATGATCGGAAGATGGGGAGCAATCGAGGATTCGGGTCTTTAGGCTATTGTGGACAAACATGGCTACTCCACCGCCAGTCCGGTTTACCCGGTCATGACGGAGCAGGATGTAATTCGGCAAGGATACTGAAGATGATGGAATATAAGGTTTAAGCCAGGTTTCGGATATTGCTATGATATGATAAAAGTTTTGGGTAAAGTATTGCAGGAATTCGTCATAATGGGCAGAAAGTGATTGAGAGTTAACTTGACATGTGATTAGGGAACTAGACATACAGTGGATTTGGAGAGAAACAGTCAGTGTTTGGTAGCGAGAAGACAAAACGAGTAGAAAGTACAGAAAAGCGATTATCGTACATAAAACTAAATGAAGAAAAAGTAATATTAACATTAAAAATAAATAAAGAGAATGTACTTAAAAATAAATAGATTGGTGAGTGACGGTGTCGAGATAGCACTAAGAGAAGAAGTAAGACTATTTTAATGAGGCTAAGGGGTTGACGGCTTCTAGGTAGTCAGTCAAATACATCTAGATCCGAGGCCTGTTCTATCAGGATGACTCTATGTCCGTCCTCTTTTCGACACCGCACCTTTCCGGAAGCAAACCACGTATATTTGATTTTTCCCGCCGCTCTCTTCTGCCGGGCTAACCAATAGAGGTGTCTGTTTGTGCGAGTCATCTCTTCACCCAGATAAATTCGGTGGCAGTCATTTTCCTGCCAACCGATATCCCGCGTGGAGAAATCCCTCTTCACTTTCCTTTTCGTAATTAAGTCATCTCTAATTGATTGCCTGACAAAACGTGCGATAACAGGCGGTGGTCGCGAGTCATCTTTTCGGCTTCTGCGGCGATGTACGTTGTCCAGGTCCTCCACACTAAGCCTGATCCCCAAGCTTGCTCCTATACTGGTCACCAAAGCAGCGGGCGTTTCGCCCGGTCGCTCCGGTATACCGCGGATCTCCAGTGATCTACTCAATAGTCCTTGCTCTGCGTTATTCAAGCGAACCTCTAATTCGCCCACTCGGGATTTGAGTGCTTTATTTTCTAATAGTATCTCCTCAAATTTTTTAGCTTGACCTTCCAGATGTTTTTCAATCTTCGTCAGTCTTTCGTTTAGTTCAAAACTGAGCTCTCCGTATTTATCTAGTGCTGTTTTCATGTTTTTTATATCTTCGTTCACGGTAGCGTCTAAACGGTTTACTGCCGCAAGTATTTCTGAGGGGGACGGCTCGTTATTTTGTTTTTTCACCTGTTCGCAGTTAGAGCAAACCCATGTTTTTTTAATTATTTTTAATGCTTCGGAGTCTTTATCAGTAAGGTTGACGCACCTACCATGAAAAATTATTTTACACTTAACGCAGTGTATATTGTTCTTATCTTCGCGTGCGATAGAGTTGTTGCAAATATTACACTGCACCATTTTTTAAATTTATTAATGAGAATTACTTCGCAATTAAAATATAAATAAATACCAAGACTGTTGACGGTAGTAAACAACGTCTAATGCTGGTCTAATGCTGTTAGGATTAGTAGACGCCTGCCAGCTCGTTGCTCCCAGAACTCTATCAATCTCGCTGTGCTTTCTTTACTCCGATTGGTGTGAAGATCCGACACTTAATAGCGTGATTAATTATAGTGGTTTTTTGAAAAAGAGAAAAGGAAAAAAAAAACTGAACTTAACTGCACTGAAATATAATTGAAGTAAACTGAGAGATTATATGAACGAATTACACCGATGTACACACCAGGGCGTCTCAGGCCAGACTGATTATACTACAAATTCATAAAATAAAACTCTAAATGAATGAATTATTTGTAAGTTGATAAAACGGATAGAAAATAATAAACTACACATTCATCAAAAAGATAATGAAATTAATAAATTAAATTTCTGGAAGTGATATTATTCAGTATTTTATATTTAAACATGCAGAAATAAATCAGTTATATTCTGATTGCAACCATAAGCAAATTAAATACTTAAATGAAATCAAAATCTTATTAGCAATTTATTTAATAACACAAAACCAGCAAATTCAGTAAAATAAAATTATATTAAATTTCATTATTTCAATCTATATTTATTAAAAAGAACAGGAGTATTAGATAAAGGATTTAAGTATGATAAGAAGGGCTATGAACTACATGTAGATAACAAATAATTTAAGCACAGAAAATAAAAGTGAAATACAACTGAAGGCAGGTTCACAGAAACTATTATTTCCTACTACTACTGTAATCATTATAATGGAAACTGAAAAAAAAAAATCTTCAAATTTGAAAAATAATATTGGAACACTACAACTAAGGATTGACCAATTTGATAATAGCTTTTATCAACTAATACTGAAAAGCTATAAAAATAATATAATAAAACATTAAATAAAAAAAAAACTAAAACTAAATTTTCTTAAAAAATAAAAATACTAATTTTGATTAAGCCAAAAGCTATGCCACAAACACAGAGTTATGAATTGTTACCCCATACACAAACATACCCAATGAAAATACAATAAAGATGAATGACAGCCACAATCTGAGAAAAGCCTATTTATTAAAGTTAACAGGAATTTTAAATGAATTTATTTGAATGAATAATAAAAAATGATTGTGATGTGATTATAATAAACGGAATCTGTGAAATTAAATGCACAATTAAAATGATAACTCTTCAGCATCAAATATATTAAGTTTGAAGAGCACACATTTATAAATAAGGATTCCTAAAAAGTGCTAAATTTTTAAAATCACGACTTCAAATAAAAGACAACTATATTACTGGCATCATATACTGTTTAACTTCGTTTTTCTTCCTAAAAAATACATTATGTCTCAGCTCAAAGAATTAAACACTCCAGAACAACTTCTTAATTTCAATCAATGGATCCGATAATTTTATTTAAAAAAGCCACAAATTACAAATATCAATAGGAAAATAAAACATGTAATTATGTCTGATATGATGAAGCTAACATTGAAAAACATTTATCTCACTGATTTTGACCTATAACTGTTTGAAATCGTATACCACAATACAGATGCCCTCTTAATGGACCAGACACAGAATAAAACAATTAATCAGTGTTACTAAGCGAGAAAATGAAACAAGTTAATAAGTCCATAGTTACAATAGGAAGTGAAATAAAAATCTGCAGATATGAGTAATTAATTTTTAATAATATGAATATTCCTATTCTACATACTGATATGAAGAAGTATACAGAATGATTTCTAGAATTTCTGCTGCATTGGTTAAATTGCAAATGCAATATGTTCTTCACTAACTTCAAATCTGAAGGTGTTTTAAGGAAACATCATCATGACCTATTCAATTTATTTAGTAAGATTTTTTAAGTAGAAGATTTTGATTTTGAAAAAACAATAGGACTAACAGAGGTATAAATTGCATCCAGCAGATAATTTTTAACCTCTTATAAAAACAAACCAATTCCAATTTTTTTAAAAATTATTATTTCAGTGACCCATTGCTAGAACATTCATCCACATTGAAATGGAAAGCAATTCTAGTGTGCTGAGCAAAGTGATTACTAAACAGTGAAGTAGAAAACTATATGGTTTAGAATAAAATTGATTTGGATTTTAAGAATAACATAAAACCAACAACAAATAATAAACATGAAATGAAATGATGATGAATTTGCCATGAAACAAACAACACATTCACTGCTAAACAAATGAGTTCATTAAAAATTAAATTAAAAATATAATATTAAAATAAACTTAGTGTTTCTCAATGGAATGATATCAATACAATACATTATAAAACAATACCTCAGCAAGTTTACATGAAGTCGATGTGAACAAAAATTACAGACACAAAAAATGTGATTTGCGTATTGTCAAACTAAATACATGGTACTAAGTTAAGATCATTGATGGAAAGCAGACTAGAAAAGAATGAACCTATTTCTTGTTAGATTTAACTATTAAAAGAAGATATAAAATACCAAACAAAATCACACAATTATTATGAAGGACGTAACCTGTGTTAAAAAACAAAAATACTAAACACAAACTCACAACACAAAAAAATATAGTTGAGCTGGGGACAAGACTGTTAGTGGAAAGCAGATTTTGAATCTTCTTTTTTTAAAAAAAAATCATTGACTCACCAGGCTTAAAGAAAGGGTTTAAGGGTTTTTGGGAATTGAGGGAGTCAGGAGGGGATAAACCCCACTGGAACACTTCATAAATCGAGGAGCTCATCCGCAGGCGATCTGAAAAATTTATCATAACTGATTGAGCTCTAAGCCTTAACTTGCATCTAATTCACCACACGGATGCACAATATAATCAGTGAATAAAATAGCCAGGTGTGGATTCTAAAATAAAAGCAAAGAATAATGGAAATGAAAGAAGCATTAGGATAAAATGTCTACCTTGTGTTTTGCGCTCTATGCCGCCGGCAGAAGTAGCTCGCTTTTTGCTGCCATCTAATTCTCTTTCAGATGATCTTCGAGTCAGTGGACCAGGTTGTGTTGCTGACAGTGAGAGTGTCATTACATTAGAAGTGGAGGTCGCTCTAAACATAATGAGATTTTAAAAGTTCATTAATTAATACAAACATAAAATATATCAAGATTTAACAAAGCATTTAAAAAAAAAAAGAATGTACAATGGATATTACCTGATTCAATTAACTGGTAATTCTTAAATCATTATGAGACTTGATTAAATCAAAATATATATTAGTTAGTAATAAAAAAAAAAAAAAGGATTGGAAGAAAATTATAACAATACATATAAAAATAATAATAGAGTGAATAAAAATCACAACGTAGAAAGAACATAATAACATTTTATGTTTAAATTCTTTAAATCTTTCAGCCAACTCGAAATCACCTTTTTCAGTAATGTTACAGGTTAGCAGAAAGCTCATCTGGCTTTTAATAAAAGTTTGCAGGCTCACTGACAAGACAGAGATTGGCTATAAGATGATTAATCCGCAAAGAGAATAGTCCTCAATTCATGTTCAATATCTGATTTAAGCTTTTGAGAAAACAGTGTTTCATGAATTACTAATGTTAGTGTCTATTATGCCCTTTCTTGGTTTCCAGAATCATAAGCTCATTTCAGTATATTCTTCTTTTAAAAGTTCTTGCATTATAGATGCTCCTCACTTTATGAACTATCTGCTTATAGAACACTTGTCCCCACCATCAGGTTATCCACACTTACGGGTTTCTTTTCGATTGTTACATCCACTACCTTTGCTCCTTTAGGTACAACTTATATTTCGACAATCTCCATTACCAGAACTCTATAGTTAGAGATAACCAAATCATTGAATGATATCATTTATACAAGCATATAATATATTCATACAAACCATTTGAATCTTTCTGCATGACTTTACAATAATCTTATATTCATAGCACGGATTCTTACTTGCTGACAAATTCGCCATTATGGAACTTGGACGTCCACTGAGGGATAAATGAGGCAGGAAAACAATAAGCCTATATAGGCTACTTTTGATTTTCTAGGAGTATAAAAAAATATCTCATATAACAGAAATGTAGGATTAAAGATAGCCATTCATTATGAAACATTGTTGGGACAAAATTTTGAGCTGAAGAAAAAATTAAGCAGTTCAGCATAACCTACATAATTTCTTGGAGTAAACACTAATGAAATCCATATTGACAATTGAGAAATCGATCTAATAACTTTCATGATTAATAATAATGTAAATCCATTAACAAATATTTGATCAAATAATCAATATCCAGATTAAAAGAACAAATCAAAAAATTTTATCATTACCTTCTAGTAGTCCAATATGTGGAACCAGTATCTCCAGGCTCCAACATCCGAGGCGTTGAACTACCGAAGGCAAAAACTATCGAACTCCGTTCATTTTTCCTTTTCGACTCGATTCTCGCTTCTCTTTCCTGTATGAAAAATAAAGACTATCAGTACAAATATTGAATGCATAAGGAATTTGTCAAATTGAAAATTATGTTAATGGGAAAATGTTGACCTGGTTTTTACGAAGAATTGCTTCTCTACGGTCCCTTTCAGCCTCCCAAATCTGTCTTTTTCTTTCTTCCACCTGATGTCGTCTATCTGTATCTCGTACTCGCAATTCTTCCAATCGTCTTCTTCTTTCCTCTTCCTTTTGTTCACGAAATTTCTGAGCAGCAAGTGCCTAAAAAATACAAAATTTAAAAAATAAACGAAAATATAATTTATCTCAAATATTACCAACTGATATTTTATATTAAAATCACATAGTTGTGAATATGTTTAAAAAGACAGGCCATCAGAAAGGCATATCAATGATACAAATGAAGATTATCATATCTAAAAATTGAATAAAATAATATTTGTAGATAGAATAAATACATATAATACATATCAAATACAGCTACATATCAAAGATGGACATATGTCATTTTTAAAAGCTGGGAAAAAAACAATTTTTTTAACATATCTTCAATTTTAACTGATTCTATCAGTTTTGTTTCATGATTCAGCTTGAACATTCTTAAATAAAAATATCAGAAACAGTTTGAGTAGAACTTACAAAACAAAAATTGACTTTTCAAAAATGTCTTTTATAAAAATTTAAGTTTGTATATCTAAGTCATGTCAACAACATTTTATAATTTCGCATAACTAATTTTAATATTAATTTTAGTATTAAATAACAATAATTTACAAGAAGGATATTACATTTTCTAGCCAAAATTATTTTATTTAACTAAACTAAAATAATTACCTGTTGTTTGAGTTCATCAAGCTTTCTTTGCCTTTCTTCATTTTGTTTTTCCCGAAGAATTCTAAGTCGCTCCTCTCTGTCAACTTGTGACTGTCCGTCTTTTCCTATAAAATAAAACAGTATTCTTCAAGAAATATTCATAATAGGTAAATTTAAACATATAAACTCACAATAAACACATCACAATGCATGTAACTTTATAGCAATGCGATAATTAATAACAAAATAAATAAAACAAATAAAAATAGCACTCTCGATAGCTGGCTTGCTTGATTATAGAAAAAAAAAAATTAAAACAAAAACACATGTAAATTGAAGCTACATCTACCTACACCTAACAATAAAAAAACTTCAAATTTGGTTATAAAATTGTTATGAACGATTTCTTCATTCTAGAATGGCTAGGCTCCACAGTGTTACATAAAAATGCACAAGAAGAAACAATCTTATATTTTTAATATTAGTTTTTTTTAACACACAATAAACTCTAAATCCTTTAGTGAAACACCTAATAGTTATAACTGAAATTTTTAATTTTGCTGACAGCACATGCAATCCCAACTGTAGAGTTTAATTAAGAAACTAAATAAAAATTCTTTTTTTGATCATTTGGATCAATTATATCTTCAAAAACTGTAAAATAAAAAAACCTTAGTATTTATTGCAACAGCTAAAATTTTGGTGATACAGAACATTGTTTTTGCTTTTACAAGCCATGCACTCAGCTTTATTTAAAAAAAATATATATATAAATATGCAAAATGAATAATTGAAATAAATGATAATTTTAATGGACAGCAAGGTTGTCCAGCAAGGCAACTGAACTCTTTTATTAATTTTAAAAAAATATGTGTATATCATTATAAGTGAACTTGATTTTAGTTGAATAGCCGTTTACTTATAAATAAAGCACTACATATCTAAAACTATAACATGGCGTGTTAGGCTCTACAGTTGGGTGAATTTGTTTTTCCAAGTACCTTCATCTGGGCTCAGCTCTGCATTAAGATCTTCCGAGAGCCAACTGGGGCCTGGTAAATGAAACATTTGTGAAACCTTTAATTTTTCCTATTTTCAGAATGAAGTGATTAATTATTTATTTCATTAATTGTTACTGATACAAGGTGAAAAATATGAATGATAAATAAATAATAGAATAAGACATTTTATAATAATATTGATTTCAAATGTTAAATAAAAATATGCATAAACAAAAAATAAAAACAAACTGATAAATATTTTCTAATCTAATTATCCGGAAGATCGAAAATTAAAGGGTAGAGCTGGACAACATTAGCCTATTTACGTCATTGTACACCAAGAGGAAACTAATTAAACTGATAAATGGCCCACTAACAAATTACTTGGCAACACAGAATATAATGAAACAAAATAAATAAATGATTGATTAATTAAATTAATATAAGCAACCACAAAGTGAGTAAGAACTACTGATAGGAACTCCAAATGAAAATTAGTCCGAATAAATTTATCCAATGGAATGTTTCACTAATTTCAATAGTAATATTAGATTCTTTCCAAATAAGCATAACTTTTTTACAGATAACTTATCAAAAGTCATTTTGTTTTCATAAAAAAAAACTCTCCTGAAATGGGAACAAAGAAACAAGTTTTCATTCAACAAAAAGAGAAAAACCAAAATTCAAGTTCTTAATCAGACTAAGTACCAACTTTATAAATTAATCAAATAATAAAAAGACAATAGCAAATAACACGACTTATGCAGAAGTAATATTTGATAAAGAAATGTCAAAACTGACATCACGAAAGTTCTTATTTTGGGATGAGCAACCAATACTGAAAAAATACTTGCGATGCTGTATTACTAATTCCTTTCCTTTAATTAGTTTAACAAAATATGGATAATAAGGAACCATGACTTATGTATTACATATCAAAATATATGGGCAATAAACATTAGTAAACACCATCTATTTATAAGAGTAAACTTTACAACATTGGAAAATTACAGAGTGTTCACTTGGTTCAAATCCCTTCCCAATTATTTTAATATCCATAAAACTATTTACAACAAAACATAAACAGTTTTTTTCATTTCAACTAAAAGTCCCTAAATACCCTTAACTACTGTTAACTTAATAAGGAGGTTATGTACAGGTTACTGAATAACCGTTATTGGTGTATTGTGGGACAGAAGGCGGAATTATAAAACTGCTTAGTTTACAAATACTTGTTACATTTTCGTTGTCACAATTTCACTTTAAAACCTTGATACTTTATTGTTAATTAACACATTCATGTTAATCGCGTAAAAGGAATTAACGCCCAAATAGGGTACAAAAATGCTGTTATTATTAATCCGCATTATCATTTTTAATGGAGGCAACGAGTACCTATAAGTTACCTCAGGTCTTTTGCTATCTTTAACATGACAAAATCAACAATATTAGTGATGGAGTTCAGATTGTAACAAAACTACTTTAAAAATAAAAGTTAATAAACTGGCATCCCTAATAGACTCAACCACCCTTGATAGATGCTCTCCTCTCTAAAGGGTTAAAAAGACATTAGACTTTGAGCGCCATAAATTAGCATGAAATTTTCAACTGGCAGGGGAGGGGAGGGGACGCACACCATTTGCATACAAATCTCGACGGCTGTTGGGAAATCCCGCTGAAAATTATAAGTAATTAAAACTGAGACTGTCTTCCTTGACAAGAGCCAATATGGCCGCCAATGGTATAACAATCCATATTTATTCCACGTTAAAATATTGGGAGGAAAAAACGATTGTTCCGTGTTATGTAAAAGCTATATCAACTGATTGTTAATTCCAATCAACACTAATTTCAATTTAATTATATTTTAAGAACTTTTAAACAATGAATTTAAATATTTAACAAATATGATAATTGTATTAGTAATTGATGGAAGACGACTGTGTAAAATTCAGCTTCTCACTCGTCGAATGAAATAAACCTTATAGACTGTACATAATACGGAGGTTTATACCTCTTTACCGTCTCTCTGGAGAGATTGATTTTGATGAATGAGGTATAAAACGAAAGGGAATTTCATGGAGAAAGGACGCGGACATCAAGATCCCTTGAAACTAAGCTCGGCCCTGTTGATATACAGCTCAAAAATGTCTGTTTTTGAGATAAATCCTAATTCTTGCCGAAAACTACTTAGGTGTTCCTATAGGAATGATAATCATAGAATTATCATGGTTTACTAATTGCATGTATAGATTTTAAAAATCGAAATAGTGTTATTTATTATATTCTTATACGACGAACTAAAAATCTAAAAACAGCTAAATCAATAATAATAAGGATAATGATCCACTTCATAATTTTCTGCACTGCACGCAGGCTTTTCTGAACTTCGAATGACATAGAAAAAAGTTATTGATATTTTCAATAAATAAAAAAATATCCAGATATGGCTACTATATTCTCAGTAAAAGGGATCTGTACTCTTAGTAAACGATAGAACTACAACCGAGGCTTGTCTGCACTAATTTTTCTTTACTTTACCTCGATAACAGCTCCATCCATTTTTTTTTTTCCATACAGTCAAAAGTCTAGGAGTAACCTTAAACCAGAATCTTTCCTGGAATAACAATATCTCCCAAATTATCCGAAAATCCATAACTGCCGTCTAAGAATCCCTAAAATTCCGTGATTGTATTCCTTTAACAATCAGACAGCTCATGAATTGCTTCACAAGATACATCTTGGGGATTCACAGGCGTTGTAATGTTTCCTGCTGGTACACCGAGTTGAAGGGGCTTTATCTTACTTCCCGACGGCTTTTTCCTTTGCCAAGTCCTCAAAACCAAAAACCCTCCCATAAATCCTAGAACTCCTTACACTACGTTCCTCTATCCACTCTCTCAATATCAGATCTCAATCTATAGATTAATGTATTTCCTCCCATAAAACTAATTCCTTCATCAAATCTTTCTCCATGAATCTCTTTTTGGAACTCTTTACCTACCTCCATACATCAATACAAATAACTCCTATTCCATCACCTAATCCATATTCAAAATTCCGTAAACATGTAAAATTTACTTGCTTCTGCACACTATATAATTCAATCGACTGTACAATTGCAATTGAAATTATCTGATAATTAGGAATCATTATGTACAATCTAAGCCACACAAATGTTTATAATTATGGAACTCCGTTATTATTCTTAGATAGTAGTCCCTGAATAAAATTATTTTTTTATTCATTCAGTAATGAATGAAAAAAAAGGCGCTGAGCGAGTACAATGACGGATTAGTGAAAGTTCGGGGATAGTTATGTATTTTGGCTTAAATATTGAAAATGATGGATATTTTCCATTGAAACAAGCTATTCACTTGTTAGAATAGCTATCTAATGTGAGGTATGTAATGAACTATTTCACATCTTGAAATATGTATGTAATAAAAATAAGCTATAACCATTATTTTGTAATTAAACAGCCCGATATAACTCTACTCGACAAGATTAAAAGAAAGCAATATTATAGTTTAATATCTCACTACGAGTTTCAAATAAACGTGATAAGCGATAGAGCTTAATTGTATAGCTTAAAGAGATTCCACTTTTATTATTATACCCCCATACATTTCCACTATATTGGATATGAGAGAAATTGTAAACGGTATATCATCAGTAATGGAAATTTAAACAATAACATAGCTGAGTAAAATGGCAGTACTCGTTACAATAAATCGAACCGTTGACCCGATCAGATATTTTCAATTAATAGCCAATTAAATGATAAACTTGTAGTTAACATAATAACCAATATATGAAGAAAGCGTATCGGCATATTTATTTAACTCTAATGAATAATGAATAAATAATTTGTAATAAAGATTGACGAACCAGAAGGTACGATACCAACAGAAAGCGAGCTTTCACCAATCAATCCTTATGCCAATTGAAACCACAAATTAAATTTAAGTTAAGGGGGAACGTAATAAATTTTAGGATGTAATTTTTATATTCCTATAATACTTTACTGTAGAGAAGTAGTGAGGGATGGGTTCACAGATGAGATAACACACGAATAAGATGTCTCATTTTTAAAGTGTGCAGACGTTTCAGCTTAAGTTTAAAGTCTTCAACCAGGGTAAGTAAAAAAAAATATATATATATGGATATGTAAATAATTACAATAAAATTAAATTTGATATAAATGAAAAATAGTGATGCTGTAAGATGTGTTATGCATAAAAGGAGACATGGATAAGTCCCGACATCTTCATATTTCATACATATTATCATAATCATATAGCAATTTTTCATTCATATTTTATTTTTTACATACTCATATTTAATTCATCATTAACATTTTCATAAGGTTTTTATTACCTCATACTGTTTTTTTATTCAATAATATCTATCTACTTTTTTTTTTCATTTCCCTGACGAAGATCCAAACCTTAGGCCGAAATACCGCCATACAATAAATTTAGAATTCGTATTTGTTTTATCTCTGTCATGAGAACTCCTCCCCCCTCCCCACAACCAACTTCTAAAATCCATTCAAAAGGTCAACAATATTTTCTTTATCATTGTATTGTTCAATTAAAACTGTGTTGGACAGTTCTTCTTAATAAAAAAAAAAAAAAAAAAAAAAAAACTAAGAAATACTGGAAATAGCCGTCAAACAGAAATTAAAATTATTTGATTTCTAATATTATCACAATAATAATTGGACAATTCCTTCAAGACGTAAAAAGACATAAGAAGTGAATTGAGTGAGGTAAAATAATTATAGAAGTATTATCATACCTATTTTATATAATGTCAATCTATTATAATAATATGGGTTGGTTTATTGTTATGAAACTCAAAATATTTTTCTGTTGTGTATGTAGGTTTTGGAAGCACTTCACACGAATAAATCGTTAAAACCGTTACCAATAAATGTAAAACAATGAAAGTAATTTACGTACAACCGAGATCGAATGATGTTATCTGAAATAAGAGTAAAAACTCTGATGTGGACCACTTTTTAATTTATTTATTTTTTGTATAAAGTGGTGTTACAGATATCTTGGAGAGAATAAAAGAAATCTCAAAGAAGGGTTTATAGATGCAAATTTATACGAATCCTTCCAAGACCATTGCCCGAAAAAGGGAGATGTTTCGACTGTTAAACAAGAGTGGCAGTAAAAGTTTTTCCTAAGAAGTGACGGATGCCTCTTAATATTGTCGTGGAGTAAACTAAACCCAGTGGAAAATCTTGAGAGAGAGAGCTTTCATGATGCTAGAAAATTTAATCAGACGCACCTAAGAGTGAACTTCACAATTTCATTAATTGAATCCAAGTTTAGAAACTTAGCTGACATTATCGAACTTGCTTCCTAAGAAACGTTAAGGGGTGCATTAGAAAGTTTAGCGAGAATCGTGAAGAAAGTCTTTTCTTTTAACTTTATTTTTCCCTTTTCTTCTCACAATAAGACTCAAAACTTCCACCAGCAAACAAGAGTGAAGCAAAGAAAGGAGTCAATTAAATTGATGATGATCGTATGATAACAGAAATCGGTATTGGAATATTCTGTACTTAAAATTAAAGTATTTAAACACTCGTATCCAATCCTTACGATCCGAAATCCTTCGTTAAATTCTCAATGCTCCTTATTTTGTCACAAATAAAATCATCCATAAAGACCTTAATGTTCCTTATGTTTCTGACCTGGCCCAATCCAGATACCTATCCTTCCATAACAAACTTCAGAACCATCCAAACCCTCTCGTTTCTAATCTTGCTTCCTCCTCGATCCCTGATAACCCTCCGAGGCGTCTGAAAAGAAGATGGCCTCGAGCTCTCCTGTTGTAATAATATTTTTAGAGTGCTACCAGTGGGTAGTTTCTCAACATTCTTGTGTTCACATTTACTGAATGTATTTATATTTCTAATAAAGTTGTAAATATCATAAATAAATAAAATAATTACACAAAGCTTTACAAAAAAATAAAATAAAATAAATAAAAATGAAAATAAAATATATGAAATAAATTTTAATTAAATATATATATATATATATATATATATATATATATATATATATATATATATATATATATATATACAAAACCAAATGATACAAGTAAGTAATAAAAAAAATCAAAATCACAAAAAAAAAAACACACTTAAAAAACGAACAAAATTTGGTATAAAAAAAAAAATTGTTAATGATGCAACTTAAAGACTTTACTAAAAATGAAGTTATGCTACAAAACCACTGGCTAGAAAACTGTTGATTACGATTTTTTCGCTCCTTGATTTTTAAAAATACTTTTTAAATAAATATTTTAGTGAAAAAAAATCCAAAAAATACAATTCGATTTAAATTCTTTAATTTACATTCGAAATAATATAATTTATCCAGGTTTATATAGTTATAGAACCTGCAATATTTAAACGAAATGGCAAAATAGTTAACATTACTAGAGGCTAATTCTGTTAAGTTTATGATTCTTGGAACTTTTTTTAGATGTTTTCTGATACTATTAGGTTAAAAAATAAAATGAAATATAGCTCACATCAGGAGTAAAAAAAAAAACAAATTTGAATGCCTTAGTCTCTTATAAGATTGCCGTCTCATGATTTAATTCTTATAATTTCTTATATAAGTTTTGCTGATTTCCGAAAAATCTCGGAATTTGGGTTAAGATAATATAGGTCATTTAGCTCATGCAAAATAAAAAAGATTTTAGATGTGAAAAAAAAATGGTCTTTTACAAGTATATTAAAACAAAAATATATAAAGAAAATTATATTAAATATATATATATATATATATATATATATATATATAGCTTTTAAACAATATTTAAAGATTTGGAAAAGTTAAACAATGCTCATTTTTATAATATTTTTTTAATTAATTACTACGGGTCAATAAATGATATATCAACTAGTTCTGGTATTCGTAACCCACCACGAAATTTAAATACAATTAATTATATAGTTTAATATTTCAAAATATATAATTATTTATTTAATCATTGTTACCAATTTAACAATTATATTTCGTGATATATTCAAGTTATATATGATAAACATTTCTTATGTGTAAGGGTTTGGTTTTTAGTTAACATGCAGATCAACAATTTCACGAAAAAAAAAACGTTACAAACTTATTTTGTGATTATTATTATACGCTTCTATTTAAGGAATGTTAATTAAACATAATTATTACAGATATCTGTATACAAATATATATATAGTAGTTATGTATGTTCGGAAACCTTAACTTCGTTGAAGTAGAAGCAATATATATTTTTTTTTAAACATTTATTATGATACCCAGATTCGCAAATTACAAAAATAAACAGATAAATTAGAGGAAAAGAATATTCAAATAGTAAAATATTTTTGTTACATCAAAACACATGCGAATATCATATTTGCAGAATATGACTTGAATGTTATAAATTCAAAGACAGTCACTAGGATATACCAATAAGACAATCAAACGCCACAAAATAAAAAACAAAACTATTTTAGGGATAGTTTGGAACTGAAACAGGGATATGAGCTGTTAAATGTCGCGACATGGGTTGGTTAGTCCTCACACCAAACTATTACCGTGGTACGTTTTCCTTGGGGAATCAGTTTCGTCTGGTGGCACTCCACACTCCGCAAACCAGTGCAATCCTGTATCAAAAATTATCACCAAGAAAATAAAATATATAAAGTTTAAATGATTGAGACTATAAACGCCTTGAAAGAAAAGAAAAATAATTATTAGAAAATGGGAATGGAAGGAATAGATAGCCTTTATGGTATTGGAAATGTTTATGGAATGAAAGAATAGTTTTTTTTTTTTTTTTAATAAAAGTTTTTATGAGACATGATAAAAATGAGGCACATTTAGGATTCGAAGTAATATTTTCATAAAAAATTTGAATTTTTTTTGAAGGGTCGAATTCAATGCACCACTTTATTCATCGATTGATTCAACGATGGTTCAGCAGTTTCATCCGTTGGATAATTATAACCTAAGCGCTGTTATTTCACAATTTATGTTACATATTTTTCTTCAGTTTACTTTTTGTCAATATTTATTTCTGTTTTAAATTCAACAATTAAGTAGGTAGGTATTTCCTATTTCTTTTATCTTAGTTTTTTTAAATATTTCCGTTTCTTCCAGGAGTGTCAACCTTCCACTCGAATCAGGGTTATTCTAAACTCAGCGCTAGTTCTTTTTAAATTATGCTGGGATAAGGAACGACTAACTGGATTTCAACAAAGGTTATTCTCTTGCATGGTTACTAAACACATGAAAAATATATATAAGCAAATATTTACCTACTGAATTGTTGAATTTAAAAACAGAAATAACAACACTGAACTTACATACAGCAGAGAATCATAGATCCAAAAAGCTGATGGAAGCGGCTAGTCAATCGATGGGCATCGAAATAGCTTAGTGGATTTTCAATGCCCATCAATGAGCTCACCGCTGAGTTTAGGAACTTGCCCACTCAGCATAAACCGTTGTCCATCGGTACTTGATTCAATCGACTGGTGGATTATAAGGAATTAGGGCTAAGTTAGAAACGTTCTATATATTTGACCATTAGTACAGCGAAATATATTTATTTACTTAATATATATATATATATATATATATATATATATATATATATATATATATATATTTATTTTATTTTATTTTTTTTTTACCTGTACCACTACAACCCATGAAGGGTCTTGGGCTCAGTAATATTAAGGGTAAACACTGTTTCTTGGTCACAGTTGTGCAAGGAGGTGATTTAACCAAGATCACGGTCAACCGCCAGGATTTTCCCCTTAATCAATTATTTTTAATTAAGGGTACCCACTTTATAGAGGCAGGCTGTGCCCTAGGAGGGTCTACCTACTTAGGAATAAATATTTTTTCTGCTATGAGCCGGGATTTGAACCTTAAGACTTAAGACTTAATTGAACAATAAGACTCATAGATTTGAGGATATGGTGATCACATTGGATATTTTAGTGCAATAATTTTGAATTTGTGACGTTACCATTTTCAAAACAATAAAGATATGTTACAATGTATATAACGTATCATAATACAAAAACATGAAGACTAAATACTGATTAGTGTAGCTATATAGTACTATGATTCAATTAGAAAGAAAAATTATATTATCTTTATGAATTCTAGGGATAGAAAGAAGAAGGAAGGAAAGGAAGAGAAAAGGAAAAAAAGATAAAATATTAATAAAGAAATCATAATATTCGGTATATAGGATTATAGTTCCGTAAAACTTTATACTTTTTATGTTATTTTCTCTAAAATTATCGGTTAGAACTGAGGAGTATTCTATGTAATTTAGCGACGGAACGCAGTAAAGCAGCCTAACAATTTCATTATATTTCTCTCTTCGTTAAAAAAATAATCAATGAAAGTTAAATATGCGTCGTACAATATAATAAAAAAAAAACACACAAACTTTCTTCCCTATTATTTTTAAGTTATGAAAATTTTAACGAGGTGGCCATTTTCGATTAGTGGGAAAGTATAGAATTGGATTAGTGGTATAAAAGAGAATCCTTTTTACCTTGTTTAGCTGTTGTCGGCCGCCCGTTTTGTTTTGGGTCGACAGGAGTGGCACCCGCTGAAACAAAAAACAAAAAAAAGAAAATAAAAAAAAACTCATTAGTATTCCGAACAAACTCCACACCAGCCCATTTCCAGCAGGGCTGTGTCTTTCATAAATATGTAAATTTGAGGGAAGAATTAAATAAAAAAATAAAATAAAACAAACATTTTAAAAATCAAAAATACACGGTCGAACAAGATGCTATATAATTATATGTGAAAGGTTTATATTTAGCATGAACTTCGAATTTTCCCATAACACAAAAACTATTTCGAATATTTTTGTGAATCATACCACGTATTAATTAAATTATATATCTTGAAAACGTTTAAGTGAAATTAATTTTTATTTTTTGGCTGATAGAATGGCACCAAGATGGTCATTAAAATCTAAGCAGGCCACAGACATTAGTTTTTCCTTTTAAGTTTTAATGCAATAAACTTTATTCAAAGGTGTAGTATTTTTTTTTCTTTTATTTAATTACCAATATAGTTATTGTGAACACACATTTTTCAATCGATGAACATATTTTTAAATCTTCTTTTTTTTTTTTTTTTTTTTTTTTTTTTTTTTTTTTTAGGAAGTTTCTGTTTATATATTTTTCTAAGGTTAAGGCAAATATACTTCCATTTTTCTTTAGTCTATTTAATTACATCTATTACAACTAACGTTTCGGGACAATTTTCCCATCCTCAGAGAATTCCTTATGTTTATTTGCTTTTGTGATGTGGCACCAGTTGTCAAAAATTCAATAATTGTCATATCTGTTTAAATATATTTTTTTTTGTGAAGTCTAGTCTAGTGCAGTAATGGGACTGGTGTGATAATGAACAAAAAATTAATGTGTAACACCAAACAAATATTTAAATAGATATGACAATTATTGAATTTTTGATAACTGATGCCACATCACAAAAGCAAGTAAACATAAGGAATTCTCTGAGGATAGGAAAATTGTCCCGAAACGTCAGATGTAATTAAAAAGACTAAAGAAAAATGGAGGTATATTCGCCTTAACCTTAGAAAAACATATTTTAAAAGTTTGATTCCTCTCAGTCTCTTCAGTCTTCCTCCACTGACTTTTTGACACCAGTGACGAGAAGAGCGCTGGGATCTCCTGGAGTTCTGCTTTGGTGCACTTAGTTTCGAGTTTCTCGGACAAAGAGTAAGGATTGTATGTAATTATGGCATAATGATGTTAGACATAAATAAAATTAATTTGTTTCGCTATTTTTAAATCCATTTAGTTCCTTTATGAAGCGCGTCGGAATGGAGTGGAATTAGAAAATACTGAAATTTTGAAAAACATCACCAAGATGGCAACAAATTGTTTTTAATTCCTTCAAAAACACAAATATATAACAAAATTAATTTTTTTTTTGTAAATTTTATTGTTTTCTATCTTCAAGTATACAGTTAAATTTAATATATCGCAATACAAATATTGCGTAACGGCTAAAATGACTCATAAATGGTTGAGGAGCCTCCCATCCTCCAATTCTTAGGAATAAATAAATCCATTTCGTAAAATGATGATAATGATAGAATTAATACCGCCCTCTGACCATCAACTTATCGCGGTCGAGTTATAAAGCATATGTCATTCAATCCTTTAATATCAGCCTTAAAATTACATACGCTATTTAAGTCAAAACTAGAATACACCAATACTCTCACATTAGATAAATATATTCACAAATATACCTCTTTCTATTGCATTTAACGAACAAGCGACATCTCCGAAACATATTCGTATGTAAAATATAATATTATTAAGATTTAATTTAAAGTAAAAATTTATTTAAAAAGTGATTGGCTGGTCTCATAGGAAAACAACCCTTCAGTTAAATAGCTACGCAATAAGACAGATACTTTTATCTTTTTTTAAGCCCTGACGAAGACCTATAAATTAGGTCGAAACTTCGGCGAAATACATTATAATATATAATATTATATATTGACCACACCCTCCCCGCAACTCTTTCTCGAATTCCAATCACGGTCAAAAATCTCCACGCCGTTGTTAATAAATTTTATTACAGTGAATAAAAAGAATAAGGCGACCGGATATATAGCGGACCAGACGCGAGTCAAATAAAATCCATTTCCTAGAGGAGAAGGTCGGGCATAAATCGAGAACAGTCAGGGAAGAAATACATTATTTATAACAGTCCCCTCCATCCCACTCCCCCCCCCCCCACGAGACCCTTAAACTTTATTAATTTTGAGGGGTCCATGATTGTATGAGGGCTCTCCAGGGGCCCCTCAGGATTACACTCGGATCATTGGCTCCATATAACGAGCCCCCCTTCAGCCATATTGCCGTCTTATGGTCTACAGCTGAGAGGCATACCGGCCAAAACAACGATAAAGCTCCCACACTTCTCCTCTCAGCTCCTAGCGAAGATTAGCAACGAGCTAACCGATAAATAAAAAAATCTGGCGCGTTGCGCGCATCATACAACTTTCACTTACTACTCCAGCCGTGAGTAGTAATAGTTATTTTCATAAGTTGGGAAGTGAAAGTAAAAACGCTGCAAATTATTTCACAATGGTTTATTATTTCCAAACAATTATACATCTAAAGTAACATTACCTTCCGAGTTACAAAGAAAAAAAAAACAAAAGGTTATTCCAATAATTGGACTAAACTGTTTTTCTTTAATCATTCGTAAAATGCTAAAAAAAAAAAAATAGCATTAGTTCAGTAACACATTTAAAATTCAAAACCAAACCAAGGATATCACATTTGGGGTAGACCACATAAAAAAAACCGGAGACCATATCTTTGCTCCTAATTGTCCGATTTTAACGATTTTTTTTTTAGTAAATTTCGTAAACTTTTAAAAACCATATTTAAATTTACCATCCCTCGTAACTTTTTTTGCAGCTCCTTTTCGTAAAAGTATGTTATATAGATAAATTTAAAAGGCGTCGAGAAAATGACTTTAGCGAAGTTTCATTGAAATCTGTACATTCGTTTAGGAGCTACAGTCTATAGAAACGCAGGTTTTTCGGCCGCCATTTTGAAAGTTAAAGGCGGAGAGTAATGTCGATGAAGGAGGATCATCCTCGGGTGACCTCTGATTTTATATCAAAATTTGAAAAAAATCGGTCCAGTAGTATCGGAGAAAATGTGTGGACGGCGGATGGACAAAAAAATTTTTATTCGCTTTTCGAAATCTACGTGTCTTGAAATGTGAAATCTCAAATTTTTTTTGGTCGTTCAGAATGTTTCATTATTGAAAATAATAAACCAAAATTATAAAAGGTGCAACATATTCATTTAAAACAATTAATTGTCATATAAAAATCGTGGCAGGTTTCGAAACATTAAATAATAATAATACTTTATTAAATATGAAATACAAAATTAATCAGTGAAAAAAAAATCAACACATTTTACGTCATGGGAATCCGTCTGCCGGAAATTTTATACGATATATGACTGATAAAGTATATGAATTTAGTATATTAAAAACATATCATTATATAATAATTATCTAATAAAATAATTAATAAATATATGAAAAATAAATAAATGAATAAAAAAAAATAAAGATACTAAAGAATACATATGAATAAAGGGAAATACAGGAATGTTAAAAAATTAAAAATAAATGTTAAAGTTAATAAAATGCAAAGATGGTTATTTTCTAAAAAATCTAAGCTTTATCCAAATCTACCACGAAACACGTTAAATAAAAAAAGTTGATTAACATTTACTAATATATATAATCCAAATTTCGTGAAAATCTTTATTGAAAATTATATGTAAGTAAAATTTGTTTAAAAAAAAACACAGTTAAACTAACAAGAAATATCAATAGAAAAAAAAAACATGTACAAATGTGAGTAGTTCAAACGACGAGGGCCGGGAAAAGATTTAATAATTATTATCTAATCCTTATTTCTCCTTTAATTAGTTACTAAATCCGTTCATAGTGGATGGTTTATAATGATGTAGAAATAGTTGACTATAGTTATAATTAGAGAAGAAGTCAGTCGGAATACAATACAATATCATATAATAATATTTTTTTATTGTATTTTTCTAAAATACAATAAAATTACACTGAAATACTATTATATAATTATTATATTACAGCACACCCGACCAACTTCTTCTCAAAGTTCATAGTTTATATTTATCTATATTTATTACTTGTTACAATGTTAATTATTTTAAATAAACAAAAGTAAAGGAACTATAGAGGAAAAACCTTAGAAAATTTGGCATTGGACTGCCTGTGTAATCCTCATAATTAACTTTGTTATCATTTCTATTACCTTGACATTAAATTTTACATTGATTTAACGAGTTTGACCAAAATTGTTTTCTAGAAAATTGTAAAAATGTCTAAAATAGATTGTATAAAATAAGAGCCACTTACGGTTAATCTATTTTAGCAAAGAAGTAACTGTAACGTCCAAGGCATATACCTACCCTAAATACAAAATTTATGGTTTCTTGCTATTATGTGCCTTGGAGCTAGACTATCGACTATACATTCAACATGTTTTTTTAATCGTATTAAATATTGTACATGGTTTTAATACTTTCCCTTATATATTACTTCATATATAGGTAAGTGAAAATGAAATAAAATTTAAAATAAAAAATGTAGAAAGGCAGTGAGTGGACAGAACAAAAGGATTCGACAAAAGTTAAGAAAGAAAAGTTCAAAACAGGCCAACCAAGTCCTAATGTAGTCAGTTACTTAAAATCCACTAGGAAAAGAATAAGATAAAAAAAAGGACAAAAGAAAGAAGTAGATAAAAAGAAGAAGAAAAAACAGTGGAAAGGGAGGAGGAAACATTTGAAAGATTAATTCTCCACCTCGAGCTGATGAAATTTCCTTCTCGATATTTTTAATGTCTCCATTGCAGCTCTTTCTTTTCCCCTTCATTATACTAAGGGTTGTAATGGCCCCCAGTAGGAGGGACGGAAACTGTCTGGATTAACGCCTTTATTTCAGTCCCGTCTTGCCCCAACAGATTGGAGCCGAATAATTTTAGCGATATCCTAATGAATGAGTTGTTCAAGCAAGTACGCC